CACAGCTGTAGCAAAGAGATTTCGATTTTAGTGAATAACTTGCATTTGACTTATTTATTTTGTAACTTTTTTAGGAGCTGAACAGTACTCATCATCATTCAGTTTTAAACTGATCGGACCAGAGCACCTCGGACATTCTGCCTGACCTTTGTGTTTCATGGAGAAGAGAAAATAATACAGGGTAGGTACGGTCGTTGATGTTGATAAACATTTTATTTTGGGATGCACTATTACTGTTAATAAGATTCTAAATAACTAGAACCGAACAGCTGTAAGCCATAAATAACAACAGTGTTGTAATTGTCCATTAAAATGTTCGCAAAGCCATGGAGTGATGTTGTTAAAATGTGTGGTCCTTCCGTTGTCGTCGTTTCTTTGTGACTAAGGATGGTCTGTAGTGACAGGTTTCAGAGGAGATGTGGAGAGTCTGGGGGTGTGTGCATATGACTCAAAAGGTATCTGGGGGATCTGCGCTATAATTATATGTTTAATGATGTGTACATCCTGGGTTTCTAAATAAATCAACACCGCTGCCTCCTCACAGTGGTGTCATCTGGAGGATGATATGTGTGACTTTTCCTGTCACAAAAATCACTTACTTTACTGTAAATGGATTTGTTAAAAAATAATAATTTATTTTGCATCATTGCCTTTTCATTTGCACCATTGCCTTTTCATTACTGGCAGGGCTGAGTGTAATGTTTAGTCTAAAGCAATGTAAGTTGACCTACATCAGTGTTTCATTTTCTCTCCATACTAAATGTCTAAATGTAAATGTTAGTCTCTCACATATACATGTGTTTATTTAGCAGAGGCATTACTTGCAGGAATATTCCGGGCTAAATTCTGGGCAACAAAAATATAAAATTTGATATAACTACACAGAAAAGGTTAAGCCATTTTTTCCACTGTAAAGTCCAGTATTGTTAACATGCATATTGTTGACATCATATAGCTACACTATTGACAGTGAGTATTTTAACATGAATACTACAGTAGCCCCATTCACTTTCACTGTACTGTAAGTGCCACACTGTAACCAATTTTTCCCCCCCAAAGAAAAGGAGGTTCAAGAGATTAATTTTTGTGGTAATAAACATTGTCACTTATGTATTATGCCATTATATGTATTAAATCTTTAAATATTCCTTTAAGGTACAATACTGCATGCTGCCTTTTACTGTGAAGCCATGCAAGGTCTGTGGGATAATAGTGTAAATATTTGCATTTTATTTTAAGTATGTAAATTTTACATTACAATTTCTTACATTCTCGAAGAATTCCATCAGATATATTCGTGTTTCTCCTAGATATTTGCTGAAACAGACGCTGTGCCAATTTGAATTAGATCATTTGCCTGTTGTACCTACACGATTACCAATTACTGCATTATTCAAATTAAGTTTCAAATAATGCAAAGCGGCGAAGATAAGGGTCTCTCTGTTGCAATTATCACAACAGGGTTTAAGGATTGCTCTCCTTGCTGGTGTCAGTGGGAGTTTATGAGATTTCACATGCCGTTATTAGCGACTGTCGATACACAAATGTGATGTAGCAGTGGCACACAATGAGCCAGCGGAGTAATGGAGTACGAGTGTTTTGGCTGACCTTGTTAGGTTATTTGTGTTGGAACAGACAGTGAATGATGGGAACAACAGCGCCCCCCTCGAAATGATCCAGGTGTGTGAGAGAGAGAGGAAAAAGAGAGACTTTGTCCAGAGCACAGATGAGGGCATCCTGTCCGGAGGAACATATTGCTTCACCAATTCCCTCTTCATCCTCATCATCATCATCTGAAAGAATAAGACAAAAAAAGCACAAATTCAATGTCAAGCCGGTTTGGTCTGTGTGTGTGCATTAGGTGATGAGTTTTTTCATTTTACATTTGTCTTCTCAGAGGACATTTCTTGCCAAAACTTCAGGCTTCAGACAATGTTGCCAGTAGTAAACAATATGTTTTATTCAGTTGGAAAAGAAGTCTATTATGCAGAGGTGGGGAATTATTTTTAATAAATTTTTTGAATAATTAATCTGTAACGCTTAGCTGTGCCTGATGTGAACATCCACTGAAGTCTGTGTGGGGATAATTAACCAATTCTATCGGCTTTATCGCCAGTACATGCTGTACGTACTGCTGCACGTCTCGGTGCTTGTGTTAAAGAAAGGGCATTTTGTCATTCTTTCATTTCTGTTTTTCTTCCCTTCATCGGCAGTCCCGCCACGCACACACTCTCAGCCCAGGGCTATACCACAGATTATTTACTTAAAAAAAACGGCGTCGACCACAGCAAAAACCCAGAAGCACTGTAATATATAGCCTACTGTTCTTCAATCCAACTGACTTCTGCTTCTTTCCATCTGTCTGCCTATATGACACAAACAGACCATGTGTTTGCCTAAACAGAATATAGGTAAAAAAAACACGTTTGTGACCCTTATCAGATGATTGATTGAGTGTATACAGTTGAGTCACTAATGCATATTTCGTTTGGATCTAGATTCTACTGATGCTGCTACACTAAAGCCCGTTCTTTCTGCACTTGTTTGTCTAGCTGTCCTACAGCAGAGGAACAGTTCATCTGTCTGTCTGCTTCAGAGAGGCAACCGCAGATAGTTAACAGGCTGTTATGGAGCGAGGGCACACAGCTATAATCCACACGTGTGCGTGTATGTGCCTGTGTGAGTGTGCATGATGATACAGTTACATGCATTGTCTGAAAACCTGAGAAGTTACACACACATATGCAAATGTGGAAAAGTGAGGTGAAGATTTTTATTTAACGAATTGGATAGATCAGTGAGCTATTTCTGCTTGAATTGATCTAACCTATGGTAGGCAGGTTGATTCAGTCATAGCGAATAAGATTTTTGACAATACCAATTAACATTCGCCATTACCACTTGAAGCATTCTTTTAAGTTATATTAAACTTTTTACGCCATAAATAGATTTAAAAAATGGATGGATACATAGAGGATGGATGGATGGAGAATGTGGGTGGATGGATAGATGATAAATGGATGTATAGCCTTTATAGATGGATGGCTGGATGGATAGATAGATAGAGTATGTATGTATGGAAAGTTGATAAATTATAAATGGATGTATAGACAGAGGAAAGATGGATGGATGGATGGGTAGATAGATGGGTGAATGGATGGATGGATAGATGATAAATGGGTGGATGAACAGATAGAATATGGATGGATGGATAGAAGATAGATGATAAATGAACTAATAGGGTATAGATAGCTGGACAGATGTGTAGATGGATAGATATACAGAGAGTATGGGAAGATGTATGGATGATAAAAGGATGGATGGGTGGATAGATGACAAATGGTTGGATGAATGGATAGACAGAATTTGGATAGATGATGGATAGATAGAAGATATATGATAAATGTATTGATGGAGTATAGATAGATAGACGGACAGATGGACATGGGGATGGATGGATGGGCAGACGGACAGACGATAGACAGGGGATGGATGGATGGATGCATGCATTGTGACAGATAGATAGATAGATAGATAGATGAACGAATGGACAGATGGATGGATAGAGTACAGAGAGATGGATGAGTGGATAGATAAATATCTATATATAACTATAACTATACCAGGCCCTTAAAACATTATGATTCTGGATCAGATTCGATCAGATTCTTGAGCCAAGTGGATTTTGAATGCAGCTTCCAAAAGACAAAAAATAGCCAAATAATATTTTCTATATTTGATGCAATCACACCAGCGTGATTAAATCGTTCAGCGCGTCATATTATCAGCTGCTAAATTCAAATCTGCATTCGCTGGCTGGCGCTGAGCCAGAGGCAGACGCGTTTGTACAGCGCTCAGAGACAGATGGACATGGGGATGGATGGATGGGCAGACGGACAGACGATAGACAGGGGATGGATGGATGGATGCATGCATTGTGACAGATAGACAGATAGATAGATAGATAGATAGATAGATAGATGAACGAATGGACAGATGGATGGATAGAGTACAGAGAGATGGATGAATGGATAGATAAATATCTATATATAACTATAACTATACCAGGCCCTTAAAACATTATGATTCTGGATCAGATTTTTGAGCCAAGTGGATTTTGAATGCAGCTTCCAAAAGACAAAAAATAGCCAAATAATATTTTCTATATTTGATGCAATCACACCAGCGTGATTAAATCGTTCAGCGCGTCATATTATCAGCTGCTAAATTCAAATCTGCATTCGCTGGCTGGCGCTGAGCCAGAGGCAGACGCGTTTGTACAGCGCTGCCGTGAGAATCGAGATATTTCATGATATAGTTAATGCGTTTGGGAATGTTTCGAATAAAAATGAAAAAATAAATAAATAAAACTTAAGAACATAAGTTCTATTGTGGCTGCTGTGTTTCACATGACCCCCCCACACACACACACTCGTGCCTCCTCAAAAAAAATGAGTGCATGACGGCCCTGAGTGCGGTATTTATGCTATTTATATTATTTATGTTCGCTGGCTGGCGCTGAGCCAGAGGCAGACGCGTTTGTACAGCGCTGCCTTATAACCAATCGCACACGATTCTGTTGAGCTTATGAATGCAATGGCCAATCAGAGGTGTTCCGATGAGTCATCGCTAAAATGCGGTGTTTGGTTCACTCGCTCGCTGACTGAAAACCTCTCTGGCGAATTCTCTCATTAGAAACAACAAAGTGCAGATGTGTGTATAAATAAGTACGATATTCATTTCACAATGTAAACAGCTTCAGTGATTTTAATGAGAGTTTTTGAGAGCGCTTGAACTCTAGGCTGTCAGTGAAAATGTTCTTTGATAATGTAAATGTTCTTTGCTCTCTTTCTGTACAATGAAAGTGTTATGATTAGTAGCCTAACTTACAATGTTTTTATTCACATTAACTTTCAATGTTGAATTCACATTAAATATAAAGTCATTAAAACTTTTGCGTGTTTTTTCTTTAACTAGTTGACACAAGCAAGAGGAGACGGCAGCATCCTCTGTCCCGCATCACCTCCAGAAATTTTGCGTTATGCTATAAACAGACCTTCATGTGAACGCAAAAGGATCCGCATCCCAAAACCAACCCGTTCCATTTTTTTTTTTCACGCGTTTTCTCCAATGCTTTGACATCTGGAATGTGCTGTTTTCTTGCAAGCGTCGTTTCCATGCCAGCATGGGAACTGCAGTGTCCAAAAGGAAGAATCTGAGAAATGATGCGATTTCTTCGGTGGCAGCCAAAGTTAGGTGAGTGTCTGCTTTTATCTGAACTCGTTTTAGGGTTTTGCACCGCAGGAAGCCCGTCAGTTCAGCTCTGCATTCGTACGTGTGGCTTCAGAGCTCTGAAGTTATAAAACGCCGCGTGGGGATCTGATCTCAACTCTCATTCATGCGAGAAAGGAAAGGTCAGCCGTGATATTTGTCTAAGCTAACCGGTCATTTAGAAGACCGACGTCCCGAAAACGAATGCATTTTTTTTAGCGTTACTGTTCCATTTATCTGCGAATATTCAGTACATTGATATTCACATTAAAATGACAATTCACCCCAAAATGACATTTCTGTCATCGTTCCCTTTCCCTCATTTTGTTCCAGACCTGTATGACTGTATATATTTTGCGGAAAACAACAGATCTATATGCAAATGACTGGTGACTGAAGATGTCAAGCCTCATAAAAATATATATTTTTAAAGTATCTTAAAAGTCTTTGAGAGCCATGCGATACAGAATGTGAGGAACGTAACGAAAGTGAATCCCTGTTTAATGAAAACATTTTTAGAGTAGGCTACAGAACCGAATTCAGAATGTCATGCGTGTTGAATCTTCCAGTGAATCATTTGTATTACAGATAGGGCTCTCATATCAGTGACTCAATAATCAGCTCAATGGAAGTGAACGCTATAGCGAATAACCTAAATGTTAATCTGTTCCTCACACAATACTATTGTCATTGTACTATTATGGTGCTTCTGCATGTTTTACATGTTCAATCACCTAAAGCATTTTTCAGAATTTCAGTTTTTATGTTCAGCAAGGGAAAGTTAAACATTTCTTTTCAGTGAATTATCCCTGTAAGGGGTCCCACAACTTACTTAATATATTCAATTATTAATTCATTTGGTTAATTACTCTTCTAAGACTAGGTCTCACAGTAAACTGTTTATTTCCTAAGCAAAAATATGAGAATGCTGTTGTAAAATCCATTTAAAACTTCCATCTTATTCTTAAAGCCATCTTGACCACCTTAGGCCGCTTTCCTGGTCTAAGATAGTCTTGTCAGTGCTAATGATCAACTTAGACCATGTTAGACCAGCTTGAGACCCTGCAACCTAAGATGGATTTTCCAGCAAGGCAGCCTAACAAGTCATCTTCTCGTCTGTAGATCAAGGCATTGGCACCGTCCTTCACCGCTGATACGCTTGCAACAGGCAAATATGCACGAGACTCAATCTGTCAATCATCTGTGACTGACTCGTGCTGCCCTTGGTGTTCCTGTGTCATGGTGAATTATATCGTCATTGGAAAACAGACTGGCAGTCTTGTAACCAAGAGTATGATTCAGCCACCACAGGAGTTAAATTAACACGTTACTCTAAGACAACACAGTGGCTTGATTTCATTATTATTTATGAAAAGCTCATATTGATTGACCGCTATAGTCTTGACTACAGACCTGTTATTACATAACTCGTGTCTGTTTAGCTCTCATGTGTATCACGTCTGTCATAATTCATAAGATGGCAAGAAGTTCACCTTCTCACGCTAACATCTGGGCCTGGTGCCTCAGGGATGCTGTGAGTCATTGCATCCTTAATGTTCACATGCAGAATGGATTGTGATTGTTGCATTCGAGCAGAAAAACTTTGCAGCTGTCATTCCTTGTAGATAGAGGGCATTGAAATGACCTTGTCTAAATCCAGCTGTAGACGTAAAGCATTCAGTCATGGATTGAAGTGATGAATGGGATGGCATTCCTTTACCTCGGTGCATTTATATGTGTGTGTCATAAGCCTGAACGAGTGGCTGTTCAGTATGCAGGGCAGGTAGATCTGTGCAAACGGCTTTGCATGCTGAGTAGAAATGACCGATGTAACAGAGAACGGTAGACAGAATCCTAAACCGACACAACACGTTAATGGCATGATAAGACACTCTCATACATAGTTTTGAGTTATGCAATATTAATGTTAATGCATGAGTAATCAACATACTGTATGCTGAACATATTAATCTTTTTTTGATTAATTATGACCAATTAATTGGTGAAAGTCTTCGTAGATGAACTTGTAGGGCAGTGGTTCTCAATCAGGGGGCTGGGACCCACTAGGGGGCGTCAGCACACTTAAAATTATTTAAAATGAGACAAAACTAGGTTTAGAATCAGCTAAAATCACATTTTAGCTGAAATCATATTTGTTATTATTTGTTCCCTTAATTTGTTCCCCTTTTTTCTAAAACCATGGTTCTCATGATCTGGAGTTTTAAAAGTTTGATTTCTAGACTGGGAAAGGTCATGGAAATTAATATAATCAAATGTAATGAAATTTTTTTTTTAATTAATATTTTTTAGATTTATATACAGTGGTGTGAAAAAGTGTTGGCTCCCTTCCTGATTTCTCCAATTTCCATTTTTACCTCCTTTCTCCCCGCCAATACATTCATCCTCTATGTCCAGCTCACTTCCTGATCCTACGTCACTTCCTTCCATCTCTGCTCCAGTCACATCCTAGTGTCGCCAACCGCCCTCGTCGTCTACTTCACTTTGTCAGGCAGTTCCTATTTAAGAGATTTCTTGATTGCGAACAGGTGTGGCAGTAATCAGGCCTGGGTGTGGCTAGAGAAATTGAACTCAGGTGTGATAAACCAGTTTTAACAGGGGGGCAAACACTTCTTCACACAGGGCCATGTATTTTTGGATTTTGTTTTCCCTTAATAATAAAAACCTTCATTTAAAAACTGCATGGTGTGTTCACTTGTGTTATCTTTTACTAATATTTAAATTTGTTTGATGATCTGAAACATTAAAGTGTGACAAACATGCAAAAAAATAAGAACTCAGGAAGGGGGCCAACACTTTTTCACACCACTGTATGTCTTAACTATAAATAATGAATTATTTATAATTATTTTATTATATAATTTTAATATATTTACTCCCAAGTTTCTGTAAATAAATTGTTTGAAAATGAGCAGCTATGTCAGAAATATTGCAAATATTCTGTTGGCCTTCAAATCTTGGAGTCAATGCTCTAGGGTCTGTCTCTATCAACATAAACAAAAGGGCCTCTAAACTGCCTTGAATTCAAATTAAAGCAATCTGCATTGGAGTAATCAGACAGTATTCAGACTTCAGATGTGGACGCTGTTAAAATGGGCTGCCCTGCAGGAAGAAACTGCTCATTTGCAAAGGAATTAGTCATTGCCCTGTGGCAGTTGTTACTGCTATTATAGCCTGTAAATTATAGTGTTTTGAGCAAAGAAAGAGGTGTTGTGCTGTAGAATAATTGTCAGCCAAAGCCGAATTCAAATCATTGTCACATTGCAATTCGTTGACTGTCAAAGAAATGGCTATTTATGTCAAAAGCTAGTCTTTCTCAACACAGTTTGGAATAACGTGCACGCTTTGTGCTCACATTGTCCGGGGGACTTTTGCACCTTGTGAAGGCGGTCTCTGGTAATCTCCTCTCCTTCAGACACTGGGTCATGACCACTGAGCTGTTCAAAAGCTAAATCTGAAGGTGGTCCATGTTCTGTGAATACACACAGGATCAATAGTATACTCCGGCCCACTCCGACACACTACAGAAAAGGAAGTACTCCTGCTCTCAACCTGCACTACTTTTAAAATCTTTTCAGCTTGGCCACATCATGCATTTGTAGTGGTTTTCTCTGAATAATCCTTCCAAGTGTGAAACGAAACATGCTCTTTTGATAAGATCTGAGCTGGTAACTAGAAGATTGCAGTTTTGAACCCCTCAATGTGAATTATGTAATAATTTACTCGCCATATGTCAGTAATATTTTAGCTTCATTGAGATGCTATTGTAGTTTGTTAATAATTTCAGTTTCGATTTTTATTTTAATTCTAGTTCAAATGTTAATAATTTTACTGTGTGTTTTTGGCATTTTTTTTCAGCTTGGCCACATCATGCATTTGTAGTGGTTTTCTCTGAATAATCCTTCCAAGTGTGAAACGAAACATGCTCTTTTGATAAGATCTGAGCTGGTAACTAGAAGATTGCAGTTTTGAACCCCTCAATGTGAATTATGTAATAATTTACTCGCCATATGTCAGTAATATTTTAGCTTCATTGAGATGCTATTGTAGTTTGTTAATAATTTCAGTTTCGATTTTTATTTTAATTCTAGTTCAAATGTTAATAATTTTACTGTGTGTTTTTGGCATTTTTATTCGTTTTTGTTGTTTATAAATCCTTTTTTCCCCCCTTGTTTTTTATTTATAAATAACTAGGTCGCTGTGTTGCAATAAATATTCTTTTCTTCTCGGAATAACTTTGTATGACTTATGTAATGGGTTCTTCCTGGTCTTTCTTTCTTCTTTTTTTTTTTGTGTTTCTGAGTCATTTTTAGACTGAATGTTTTCAGGGCCACTGGGTCAGCATGGAGAGCCTGGTCTGTACAGTGTTTGTATGATAATCATGAGCGATCTGCAGATTTCCACTTGATGCTCATCCACTCTGATTTATGAGCCGAGAGTCTGAGTCACCGGCTGTGCTATCACGCCGTCTCGTTTCGATAGATACATGCATATTTCTGTTTCGTGAATCCTTTGGGTTTTAGTTAAGGTGTGAATTCTTGAGGTTTAAATGTACTGTAACATTCAGAAATCCATTTGTTATTCCTTTGCTGTACTGTTTATAGTGTGTATCCTTAATATCAGGATGGAAAATAGGCATAGCAGAATTAGATGAAGATGTTATTAAGGGATAAGCAGTCAGACGTGTCTTAAAATCACTGCCAAACTGAATGTGGTGTACTGGCTGAGCGTTTATGAGGTTGGGAGTGTTTTTTCATTCTGTTTGGATGATTGCAGTGTGGTGTGAAAACTTCTCAAAACAGCCATACTGTAAGATATTTCACACACACAAAAAAAAACATCTAAGAAGCAAAAAGCAATACTGCATACTTTTTTTTTTTTGCTCAGATATTAAGGCTTTTATTATATATTTAGAATACATTTTGAATTACTTTTATTACTCTATTGGAATATTGTTTTTTTAAACCATAAATGTACTAAACTAGTGAGGTTTATGATGAAAACAGGAACAGATTATTTGCCAATGGGTAGGAAAAAATAAATTAAATTTAAGATATTACCTAAAAACAAGTCTGATGTAATTTTGCCCCTTTTTTAAATATATTTTGTTTTGATGATTTTGGAATGTTTTTAAAGAAAAACAGACTCCAATAAGATTAGGAAAATGACTTTTCTTATGTTATAACAGACAGACCCTGGGCCAAAGTTGAAAGCTTTTGCTGGCTGATGAAAGCACCAGGACATCTTAAAGAAACATGATAAGAAATGTTGCATTTAACCTCTTTGACAGCCTTTAGGCTGCTGTCAGTCGAAGCGTTGTAAGACCAGTGCAGTGTAATCTCTAACTCTAGCACTTAAAACAGACACTGAAATCCATTGACCTATATGGAACCTTTTAAAGAAGCATCCCAGATATTCTCTCACGCCTGCAGTATCTGAAGAGACTGCCTTTCTTTAAGCCTAGTCTAAGCTATGGAGTGGGAAGTGAGGCTCTTTTCAGTGTGTTTTTATTCACTGCAGGCTGATGAGATCTGACTCATTGATCTTTGGGCCTTGGATAAGTCCGCCCAACGCTGGCATTTCAGATGTGCTCATAGTTTCCCAGAAAGGATCTAGAGCCACAACCCTGTCGTCACCCTCCTTTCAGCATATTAAAAATAGCTTGTATTTTCATATTAAATATCAAAGCAGGGAATTTATAAAGATTTTCATATATAGCTTTGTTTTGTCTTTTTGAGTCATTGGGTCGACATTTAAAGGTCCCATATTAATTGTGGCTGGAACAATAATGTAGCTGTAAAAATAGTTGCCTGCTGAAATTGAAACGTATATACATCATCATGACTAGATAGACACTCTTTATGCAGGCTGTGTGAATTTTACTGTGGACTGACTGTTTTGAAACTTATATGGTAGTTACATAGCACCTAGACCTCAGTTATCATGAAAAAAGCCAGGAAATTTCAGTTTTGACAATATGGGACCTTTAAATCAGCCATTTATGAACACTGCTGAAACACCAGCCAAGACCAGCTAAATTGGATCAGCTGGTGGCCATCTCAAATGAACAAATTGCGAACTACAAGGTACATTGTAGATATGCTGATTTTGGCTAGTACCCTTCATAGCTGCTCTGGTCAAGCTAGTCTGCTTGCAATAATAACAAGCCTAACAAATGTTTGATTATGAGATCCTTAATCAATAATCATATCCACTTGGCCAATTAACAGCAGTGTTTATCTTCTCACTTTGTCAGTTTTAAATTCTTTTGAC